TTGACAGCCTCGAAGACCGTAAAAATGGTATTGGGTCCTCCCTCCACCACCACACACACTACCGGTACCGACACATCTGAGGCAACCAAAAAGGTAGACATGTTAATTTCCAACATGTATATTTCATTCACCTCTCAATGTCAGCATTGGCATGTTCTGCATATATGTACTTTGTAGATAAAGGTCGTTCACCGTCATGTGAAAGTAGCAGTGTGTTTAAGTTCCTCAATTCTAAAAACCTTCGGAAAAAGAGAAGAAAACCTACATTTTTGAAGGATGCAGGAAGGCTAAAAGTAAAAACATTTCAAACAGTGGAAAAACATCCTCTTTCACTGTTGCATTGACCAGAATTTCTGGCTTATTCTTTTGCATCAAGCCACTCACTTGTGTTTCCATACACCTTCTGCTCAGAGATTTCCTTCTCCATCTTGGCTCGGAATTTGATCTCCACACCGAAGCTGCCCACTGTCCCATCATCTACCAGGATGAAGTGGGTGTGGTTGGGATCCAGGAGGACCTCCTTGGGATTCTTGGTGTCCATGCAGAAATAGGCTGGGAAACGACCCTGTTGGAAACAAAATTTAAAAACCTGCAATTTCTTCTAATGAATAAAAAAATTGTGAATAGTAGAGACATGCAATGAAAGTTTTGCAAGCCTTTTGTTCATTACCATAGAGAAAAAAACAAAGCCTCATCCAAAAAAGAGAATTCCCCCAAAAAACCACTAAATATCAGGTGAAATTTCATTAGTCTGCGAACATAATACAAGGTACAATGCACATGTATATTGTCAAACTGTAGTCTTGAAATACAGTCTTTTTTCTTCAGAATACTATTTATGACTTTTATACTTTGTGTATCTGTTTAATAGTTATAATAATAATAAGGAACATTTATATTGTGCATATACTATACAAATATACTCAACTGCGCATAACAATACCCATCACTAGCAGAGATGAAAATCAGATGTAGGAAAAAGCTTCATGAAAGAAATGTGTCGACAGATTTAGCATTTCTTACATGAAAGGGCAAGTTGTTCCAAAGCCTAGGAGCTGCACAACTATATGCACGGTCTCCAAAAGTTGCCTTAGTTCTACGATAGGGATGACTAAGGATCATCCTGTCCTGTGAGCTACGAAGACTGTACCTATGTGACTGGGATTTAGGTGTTAGTAATTCTGAGATATAACCTGGTGCAAAGCTGTGCAAAGCCTTATATGTTATCAAAAGTATGTTAAATGCAATTCTTTGTCGAATAGGTAACTAGAGTAATTTAACCAACAAAGGGAAAATGTGGCAGTATTTAGCAGAGTTACACACTAGTCTGGAACAAGCATTCCACATTTTTTGTAGCTTTGATATCTAAGAATCGGGAAGTCCATATAATAAACTATTACAATAGTCAACCTTACACATAATGAATGCTCAAACCAAGGTTTCAGTACAAGTCTGACTGAAGTATTTCCGAATGTGACATAGGTTATACCAATGGTAAAATGCACCCCTACAAATATTAGTTATATGTCGATCCATATTAAGGTGGAAATCTAACTGCACACCCAGGTTTTTCACAGCTGTGGATGGCTGAACTTCAGCAGTTCCAATTGTTATGCTGTCAATGTTCATCTTAGTAAGCTGCTTGGGGGTTCCGACAAGCAAAAACTCTGTTTAATTATCGTTTAGCATTAGTTTGTTACCAAGCATCCATGAGGGAATGTGAACAAAACATTGTTGTAGTGTCGATAGACCTAGGGTCTGTTGATCAATAGCTGGGTTGAAGGAAATGTAAAGTTGTGTATCATCAGCATAACAGTGACAAGAGACTTGAGGATAGTGTCTGTTAATCGTGTGTATCAGGTTACTTGTTTAAGAGTAAAATGAAGAGGACCCAAACAGGAACCTTGTGGGACACCAGATGAAATACCAAATTTTCTGGAAATTACATCACCAATGACTATCTGTTGCTGTCTGCCACTAAGATAAGACTCAATCCAGTGTAGGACAGTTCCGCCAATACCAAAGTGGGTTTGCAGTGTATGCAATAAAATGTTATGATAATGAGTGTCAAAAGCGGCACTTAAATCTAAAAGGACGAGCAGAGTCACGTTTTGCTGGTCCATAGCCATGAGGAGATCACTCTTGATTCTCAGCAGTGCAGTTTCCGTGCTATGAAAGCGTTTGTATGCAGACTGAGTGGCAGGTAGCAACAGATTAGAATGAAGGTGTTGAGAGCTTTGTTCTGCAGCAGCACTTTCAACAAGTTTAGAAATGTACTGCAGATTGCTGACGGGCCTGGAATTAACAAAGTTTGGCTCAAGTCCTGGTTTCTTGAGCAGAGGATGAACTGCAGCTACTTTCCAGTTGGATGAAAACTCACTATTATCTCGAGACAAATTAATCATTTTTGTGAGAACGGGTATCAGGGTGTCTATGCACTCTAAAACAAGCTTTGCTGGAACAGGATCGAGAAGACATGATTTCTTGCTTGATTTTAACACAAGCTTTTTTACATCACATTCAGACAATGGTTTGAATTCTGTGTAGGTTCTCAGTATTGAACCCCCCTTGTGTAGCTGCATATGTTTCCTTGTCAATTGGAGTCAATTCAATAGTTGAATATTTACAATTCTGTCTTGAAAAAAACTTGCCAAGGTCATCAACAAAATTAGATTTGACCAAGTTAGAAGGTAAGTCAAAATGCTGTGTTAACATGTTCAACAACTGTTTTGTAACATTAAACAATTTCTTTTGATCATTGCCCTTATCCTGTGTTATGTTTGAATAATACCTGCGGCGAGCATTGTTCATCACCAAGATAGTTTTGTTACGAGCCAGTTTATACCTTTCATGATCACAAGGCAACTTTATTTGGACCCACCGTTTTTCTGCCTTTCTCCTTTCCCTCTTTCCTGATTTCATCAGTAATCCATGATGCTTTCGGACATGCATTAACACGTTTCATTACCAAAGGTGCATGCTTGTCCAAAACAGACAAAGTGTGTCATTGTACAGAGTAACTAGATCGTTTCGATTATCTGGCAAATTACCGCCGAGATTACTCTTACAAGTACAACCAAAAGACTCAATAAAGATTCTGAATGACACTGACTCATTGTCATCAATATAACATTCAAATCTCCTGTAATTACAACTGGTGTAGTACATAGAAGATTCTCTGGTAGAAAGTCGCTGAACTCGAATATAAATGAAAAAAATGAAACACAATGACTTTCAGAATATGCAGAAATTTGGCGGCGTGGCCTGAAATTTGGCAGGGTGGCCTGAAATTTGATAGGGAAACAGAAATTGGCAGGGCGGCCTGAAATTTTGGCGGGGTGGCAGAAATTGGGTGGGGCGGACTGAAATTTTGGCATACAGAACACTGCACATGTACATAACATGGATGCTACTTCAAGACTATCGGTATTGAAACAAGGTTTTAGGCAGCCAGAAATGTGAGTCTGCATCATGCCATTTGCTTTTTATCAGGAGTTTTGTTCACTTACCTATAACATCAGAATGTAAACAGTTTATTTATGATAAATAATGCATTCATAGGAAAAAATTCCATTTCACCAGAACCTGTGCAGTTCATTATTGAAATGAGATATTCTGGCCGTTCATGCAGTTCACAATGTCAAAGCGGCTGCAGTGGTGTTAAATTCAACAATGAAGTACCGCACATTGGCACCACAGTAAAGGCTTTTATTGGAAACAAATATTGCTCAGATGTGCATATCGGCTACCCAGATATCTTAGGTTGGAAATTGAAATAAACCTATACATTCAAGTACATGTACAATTG